GAATCTGAGCCCTCAGAGACATGAAATGAATTATCTGTTTAGAACCACAGAGTTAATAAATGTCAGAGCTGGGACTTCAGATCTTCTGGCTCCAAATCCATTGTCCTTTATACAAAAGGCAAAGGATCAGCCAGTGCTCATACTATTAATATGTTAAGAATTTTTTTAATATACCATGATTGCATTGCTAGACTTATAATTATGAGTTTTCCTAAAAAGATTCATGCTATATAAATATTAACTGTTATTATTATTATTGTCACCAAAATCATGGACTACCTCCTAGAGGAATTCATTGAATTCAGTTCAATAAGTGCCTAGTGTCTTAGGTAAATAAAATATTTTTCACACCCTCTAGAAGCAGAGGAAGCAGTTATGTAAACATATAGATGAAACATCATGTGCTGGGCTCTATAATGGATGTGTGCCTAAGATCAAGAAATAACATAGAGCGGTTTTCCAGTTTCACTGAGCATCAGAGTCACCCATATGGCTTATAAAAAAAACCAGACTGTTTTTAACTCTGACCCCATGCTCAGAGTTCCTGCCTGCTTCAGTCAGTCTGGGATGGGACCCAAGAATTAGGACAAGTGCCTAGATGGTGCTGATGCTGCTGTTCCAGAGACCACACTTTGGAAACCAGTGTTTCTTCTGGGAGGATCAGAGAAAATATTGTAGACAGGATATTCCTGGCTCATGCCTGTAATTCCAATACTTTGAGAGGCCAAGGCAGGAGGATTACTTAAACCCAGGAGTTTATGACCAGCCTGGGCAACATAGCAAGACCTCGTCTCTACAAAAATAAAAAAAATAAGACAGGTGAGGTGGCACGCTCCTGTAGTACCTGCTACTCAGGAGACTGAGGCAGAAGGATCACCTGAGCCCAGGAGGTCAAACCTGTAGTGAGCTGTGATTGTGCCATTGCACTCCAGCTAGAGTAACAGAGTAAGACCCTGAATCAAAAAAAAAAAAAAAGAAAGAAGAGAAGAAAAAGAAATGATACCCAGACAAAGCTTGAAGAATTAAAAGGAGTTTGCCTCGTGAACAGAGTATTAATAGAATGGCATTTCAGCTAGATAGAATAGCATATGTAGAGGTATAGACAGGTAAAACAGCAGGTAGGGGAACCACAAGGCATTTATTATTACCACAATCAAAAAAGAAGTAGACAGTGGTGAGAGTTAAAGCTGAGCTCATGAGAGGCTTCATGTGCTGTGCTAGGGCACATGATTTTGCCCTACAGGTTGTGCAGAGTGACTGAAGGATTTGAAACAGAGACTCAGATAGTCAAATTTACATTTCAGAAAGCTAGTGAATTCTAGTGCCAGTGTGAACTCTTGGAGAAAAGTCCCACATACTACCTAAATATGAAAGAGCTCCTTTGAATGTCTATAATATTATGTCCAGGGATTAGTCAGATATGTGTACATCTTGGTTCACCCATCAAACAGTTTATCAGCCTCTGTGGGCCATATACATATACAAGACATCAGACATCATTCTTTCCCTCAAGTGCTTACGGGAGCCAACACTCACACATAGGCAACAACAGAGCACAAGACAAGGCAAAACTTTCCAAGGGAAGAAAAGATAAATGAGCTAGGGCCTCAGGGAGAAGACAGAACACAACTGGCCTTGCCTTGTGGGATGGTGGCATTTGCGTGACTAGAGGAGAATATTACAGACAAGGGAATTCCCATAATAAAGGAACAAAAGGCAAACTGAACTTTGTTTGCACAGGGACATTGAAGAAGCTGAGGTAGCTGGTCAACCTTTGGCAGGATCTCATCTTGAGACATGAAATGGAAAAGAAGCCTGGAAAAGAAATTTGGATCGAAAAGTCTAACCGGGAATAATCTCTGGGAGAATTTTAGAAAAGGAATAAATTAGGCAAAACAGCAGTAGGGAATATGATGTCTCTCAGCTAATTTGCAAGCCCTGTCTCCTCTCCAGTCATCCAAGAGAACATAGAAATCAAGGAAACAGGTTCCAAAAGCTTGGGTTGGAGGGCATGAGGCAGGGAAGATGCCTTGGACTTTGGTTCTGATTTGGTGAAAGTGACAGTAGTTGCTACCCTGGGAGCTGGCCATTGTCCTGAGAATGAGGTGCGTTGGCGATCTGACAGCTCCTTATAAAAGGCCATCTGTCCTGTGGAAGGCCTGAGAAGCCTCCCATTCCAGCTCCCAGATGGTATCACAATGCAGACTTGCAAGGGAGACTTCCCAGATCATTTGCTCATTCCCAAATTTGCAAATCTGAAAACATTTTTGCACGTTTATTTTGCAAGTTATGTGTTTCCTATGTATTTCTTCCCATCACAACTCAACTATCTTACAGCATTCCCTGAAGCATTCTCGTCCATCCCTTTGGCAGCGTCTGTACTTACTGAAACAAACTCACACATTGATTTTGTCTTATGTCTTTATAAAGAATGATGGATTTGTTCACTGTGCAGATTGGAGTCACTGCTGAATTTGACATTCCATGCACCCTTAAAAGTATCCGAACTTTATTTTTTCTGGCTAACACATTGTCCTTTTTTAGATTGCTGTACTTTTTATTCCTAGTTCAAGGAGCAGCACATGGCTTTTTCTTCCAAGTCATTATTCCCAAAGAATTAAAATGTATGCCTTCACAAAAGTGACTTCCTATATGACTGTGGTGGAGAGGCAAACCACACACGATGTAGGTTGAAGCAGTAGACATGGCTCCGCTAGGCTAGTCACTCTGCCTGTGACTTAGTTCCTATACCAGTCAGGCAGCTTGTGAAGGTGCCATTTAAATTGAAACCTTATCAAATTAAAACACTGCACACACTGGGCCTTTGAGGCCCAAGAGGAAGAATTGAAGCTCGAACAAATCAGAGATTCTGATTGTGTCTGACTTTGGGGTGGGAGGCAGTATCTAGGAAGCATGTGCCTGAAAATACAGACAGCAGGTCACCTATTTATTTATTTATTCATTCATTTATTTATTTATTTACTTATTTGAGTTGGGGTCTCACTCTATTGCCCAGGTTGGAGTGCAGTGGCACTATCAGGGCTCACTGCAGCCTCGACCTCCTATTTTCAGGGGATCCTCCTGGCTCAGCTTCTTGAGTGGCTGAGACTACTGGCAGGTGCCACCATGCCGGGCAATTTTTTGAATTTTTGTAGAGAGGAGGTCTCACTATGTTGCCCCGGCTGGTCTCGAACTCCTGGGCTCAAGCAATTCTCTCACCTTGGCCTTCCGAAGTGCTAGGATTACAGGCATGAGCCACCACTGCCAGTCAGGTCACTCGTTTTAATCTGACGTATATCATTAAGCCCTGTAAGCAAACCTTATTGAATTTTTCATTAATTATATTTAAACATAATCAACTTTAAATTTCCTTTTTTTCTGAAATTTTGCCTTGTAAGAAAAGTGGAGGGGAAAAAAAGAGAGTGAGAGGTTGTCAAGGGGTGTTTTATGGGGCAGAAGGCAACCAAACAAAAGGCCCAGTTTTAATTCAATTATAGGCTGTGTAATTATTTAACTTGTACCAGCTGATCTCAAGAAGCTACCAGATTCCTTAGAGAGCTTGTACTTGGCCAGAAACATAAGGTACCTTATTAGTTCCAAGACAAATGCCTTTTGTACCTGTGTTACCCCTGATCCCTAAAGAACATAATATAAAAGGAAAAAAATGCTTTGAGGTTCATTTTTGGTTTAAGAGTCAGTCACCCCTCTCTCTGTGTATGTGAGTGGATTTGCTAAAGTCTCTGAGGAATGGCTAATGTAAACAGGAGGTTATTGCATCAGACAGGTAAGAGTAATTTTTCTAATTAATTCTTTGAGATTTCCTTTTTCACTTGGGAATACTGGAAATTTAATTTGTGACATGCAGTCAGTACACTGACGGTATTTACAACTGTCTCTCTGTCTGTCTTGCTGTCCTGATATCCTGTGGAAAGCACGAGGGAGTCTCTGTGTAGACACTTTATTCATCTATCCACATCAAGCTAACTAAAGTGTCTTCTTATTGATAAATGTGTCCTAACTACACATTTTTCACTTGTAAAGCTAGAGTATTCCTAATGAGTTTCCTGTGATCATTTTTCTTTTAGATTAAATGTTTTTTTCTCAATTCATCAAAATTTTACAATGGTGAAGTAACTTATGATACATGCTCATTTACATAACGACATTGTTCTTAGAGGTAAAGAGTAAAATATTTTTAGGTAGCTGTATTTTATGAATTAAAGTATGAGCATGATTGAAGATAGTTCCTGACTCAGCCTTTGATTAAAGAAAGAGTTGATCCTATTTATTTTGTTTTAAAACACCCCTCTCTAAAGAAAGATTGATTGGCATCAGATATAGTCCCCATAAATCATACCTATTGATTTTGCATTTGTTTTAGCTCTTCCAATTTTATGCCCCCTTGTGTCATCATTTGTTTTCCTGATAGCCGGTCCCTGGGTGGGGTGCTGGGACCAAGCTGGGAGGTGGTTTCTTTCAATTCAAACTAATCTATACATGAAACAGACGAGCTTCTAAACACAGAACTACACTCCTCTCTCTTTTTATGACCTTACTCCGGTATTTCCCATGGAAATTACAGATGCTACACAGTAAAATCTGTGGCAAGTGGCAACATTAAGGGCTTTTGCATAGTCCAGTCAGTATCAGTACAGGTGTGTCTCCTGACTGTCCTGGATGTTGCGGGAAGCTGGGTGGTTTTCTGCTTGACTTTTCACACATAAGCTGACTCTTGGGATCCAGAATGCAAATATTAAGGTTATCTTCTGGTCACTCTCACAGTCAGACAATTCTTCCCTCTTCCACAAGTAGCAGAAGTAAGGGAGACAATATCTGCTGGCTACACCCCACCCCATCTTTTTTTGTAAAAGGACTACCCAGCCCTTTTTAAAATCTGCATATGCTTAGATACTTGTGTTTTATTTTTCTAGCCAATTTGAATAAATTCTCTCATTTTACATTGTTCTTTTATGTACTTTCTCCTCTGGTTTCCCATTCAGTATTCAGTCACATCACTCAAGACCATCCCAGAACTGTGCCGAAGATGTGATTCACAGAATGAAGACAGACCAGGTAGGATTTGCCTCTCACCTCTCCTCCGTATCCCAACAATGTTAAGGGCTCCTGGAAAGCTGTTTTCCCTCACATAAGTCACTCCTGCTTTCTGTTTTCCTTTCACTTTATGATTTCTCCACTCACACCACTACTCCCCACCCTGCACCCTCCTTTAACAAACAGATGTTAGGTCATTCGAAAAGGATCATAGGACAGGGAGGCTCCGATGAGGACTCAGCTGTCTACAAATAAATGTAGGAGATCATTCAGCATCTCCAAACCACAGCATATGCAGCAATTTACTGAAAACCTGAGAAACCATTGGTGACAAAACATAATGATGCCGGCGCCAATGAAGAAATGTGGGATGCATTTACTACCCATATGGCAAGGACCAGCTTGGGGGATGGTGCTTTGCCAAAGTCGGAAACCCTATCAGAGATGCGACATGATAGAATCTGCAATAAGGCATACTGTAACAGTTAAGATTAAAGCAAAGCTTTGGAGTTAATAGTGTAAACTAAACAGAGAATTATGGCATATAGATGAAAACCAGCTGCTTGACCTTTTCTCCCTACCCCACACCCCAACCCCGACAAAAAAAAAGTACATTCAGCGTTGTTTTTCCCTCTGTAAATCAAATTAAGCCTCTCTGTTTTTCTATGATGGGTAAAAATGAAAATTAAAAAAGGATATTGATGAGAATGATACCATAGTATGAAATGATGCTTACTATTTTTTTCAAGTAATTACTCTATGGCATCACCTTTAACCTTACCCAAACTGGACCTCTGCTGATAGCAACTAGAATTCTGAGAACTCTGGGTGATGGGAGGCTTAAGGTAATCTTCAAATTATGTGTATCATGTTTAAAAATACATAGATGTGCCTTACCTGTGCAGCTACTAGAATTCTAGGCCTTTCTAACTGAATTTAATTCGAAGAAAATTTAATTTTTCCCTGGACTGTTTGTTTTCTTTTGACATTTTGCTGAGAAGACACAGGGAAAATAATTAGTCTTTCCAGGTTTGTTTATCTCCATTGTGTGGTGTGTGTATGTGGAAGGGGGCTCTCACTCACTCTGTCATAAAAAAAAAAATTAGGTGAGGGATCTGGAGGTAATTTGCAGATACAAGATTTTATTTTTTCATTAATTGGAGATAAAGAATAAGAGAGAAGAAATAATAGCAAAACACTTAATTTGCGTGTAATATGCTGGGTACTCTGTAAGCACTCTACTTTCACGAACCCAATTAATTTTAAAATCCTGGTGACCTAAGTACTATTAGAATGTTTATATTAAGATGGGCCAACTGAGGAATAGAGATGAGCAGTTAAATGTCTTGCCTAGAGTTATACCGCAATTAAGTTACAGATCTGGGATTCAAACGCCAGGAAGTCTACCTCTAGAGTCTGTTACTTTATCCATTACTTGTCCTACCTCTCAGAGAGTTGAACTTAGTGGCAATAATTTAATTTTAAGATAGCATCCTTTTAAACCTTTTGAAAACAGCATTTTCCCTGATTGAATGGTGAATTTTTTTCTCTGGTAAATGGCTACTCTTACCAAGTTAAGTGAATAAACAGAAACATTTAACAATCATTGTTCCTGAGGCCAGTTCATTCCATTTTCTCCAGGTCTTGTAACTTCTAGCCACTTCCACAATTAGTGATGTTGCACTTTTCTTCTGTGGTTGAGGAGTTCAGTTTCAAGTTCGGAAGCTTTTGAGCTTTATCCAGAGTAGAGACCCAATGCTGAAGATAATCAACAATAATCAGACCTGACAGGAAATGGATTATGAGGGAAAGACAGGCCTCTTAATGGAATTGCGTGTACATTTCCAAGTTGGTATCATTTGAAAAACTCCATTCTCGGAAGCTATATTCTGATAGATGGATAGTGAGACTAGAAAAAAAGAAATGTGTGGAAAAATTAATCTGTTCACAGCATCACGGTAGAATTATCTGTGGGCGCCTTTGAAAAAAATGTCAACATGATCAAGTTTCTGCGAGAAATGAGGCATTTTCAATCAGTTCCGTGGGCACCTAGATGTAGAAATAACCCTCTTGCTCTGTCTTTCTTGTATCAACCACCTAGGAGGAGTTCGTGGCAGGAATGCTAGCAGATGTCAATCTTTTAGCAAACTGCTGGCAGCAGAATGCACTTTGGCTAACAAGAAAAGTCTACACCTTCTTTGGAATAAGGCATCCTCCAGGGAAACTTTTGCTCAAACCTTATGTCACCTAGAATATACCCCACCAGATAAAGACATTTCTCTTTACCTTTCTAGATTATGTTGAGCACTTTCTATTTTAGATCGATTGTTGAAAGTTAACATCCATCCCTGTATGTATTAACAAGTTTTTGACCAGCTGTTCTCATTTGTTCTCTTATGTATTTATTCAACAAATATTTGTTGTGCCTCTTCTGACCCAGGCACGGAGGACATGGTAAAGAACAAGACAGACAAGGCCTCTCTGCTCACAGAGCTTACATTCTTGTAGGGGTGACCGCCAAAAGGCAAGCAAACAAATAAATAAACAGGATCATGACAGATAGTGAGAAGAGGTGGCATGAGGGAATGTGGTAGGGTAACTTGTGAGAGCTGGGGAGGAAGGGAGAACTTAGGGGGTCAAGGAATGTTAGAAGGCCCCAGCCATGGGAAACCCAGAGAAGAGTGTTGAAAGTAGAGGAACTAGCAAATGCAAAGTCCCTGAGCCAGGAAAGAGCTTGAGGAAGAAAAAGAAAAGCAGTGTGGCTGCAGCCTGGAGATCAAAATGGGGAGCAGCAGGGGAGCAGGGCAGATAGATGATGGGGTCAGACTCCTCAGGGAGTTCAGATTTTACGCGAAGTACAGCAAAGAGCACAGCCAGCAGGACTCCAATTTTTCTAAGATCCTGTGACCTGGGAAGAGGCCTCAGCGTGTAGAAATCATAATTCTCAGTAGGAGAAGGGACCTGATAAATCATCTACTCTGAGACAAAAAGCAAGCGTGAGAGTACGGATAATAGAGCAGATGGGTAAAATGTTGACAACTGAGGAATGTGGATAAAGGGCCTACAGTTATTCTTTGAACTGTTTTCGTTCTTGCAACTGTTGTAGAAATTTATTTATAATACAAAGTTTTTTAAAAGGCAAAAAAATAAAAATTCATGTAGTCCACATCCTGTCATACCTTTGAAGGTGATTCTTAGGATCTTATGACAGGCTGGTGGGGTCATCGCTTTTGTGACAGGAGCACACAGTCTCATGAGGTGGCCCATCCACAGAGCTTTTTGTTGTTTTTCAGCCAAAATCAGTGTCCCTTGAGTATCCACTCACTGATCCTATTCTTCCTTTGGAGCCACTGAGAAGAACAGTGCCTCCCAGACAAGAGTACTACTAAGTGTGTGGAGATAGCAGCCACTTTTGGTCTTGTCTTCTCCAGGTTCACATTTTCTCCACAGTTTTAAGTGCGTCCTGCTCATTCTTTTGCTCTCATGGATGCATTGCAGTTTACCGGCATCCCTTTTAAAGTGGAGCATTCAGAACCCAACCTGAGGTTGCTAGTCGTATGCTCTGGTGGAAACCAGTTAGCCCCTGGGTTTACCACACACTTTTCCTGCTTTTCCAAGTGAGCCTGTTCCTTCTGCCCACTTTCTAAGTGACCTGAGAGGAGCAGGAGAAATGCACCCTCTCTGTGGCCTTTGGAAGCCCCTCTGTGAGACATACACCCCAGGGCTCACCTCACTTCATCCCTGCACCCTAGCCAGCTCCGGTGGTGGGTTCCAAGAACAGCAAATGGCAGGTATCAGAGGCCTGGGAGCCATCTCCCTGTCCCTTCCACTAGCTCACCAATACCCACAAATCCACCTCAGAGTGCCCTTTCTTTAGGCAAAGGCTTTGATTCATACTGAAGTCTATATTTTCCCTAACAGGAATAGTATTTTAAACTGTTCTCCACTAATTACACTACACTAGGACTGGGTTTCAATTTTTTGCGAGAAAAGTGGTTTTGAAAGAAAGGATGTATGACAGAATTGGAGATACCCACAAGAAGGTGGCAGGGAGGCCAGGAACTAGGAGTGAGAGGCCTGAGAACAAACTGCCTGTACTTGGAGCAGCTGCTCAGGTGTCATGGAGGTTTCTGGGTTATTTCCTAGGTGATCAGTGTACCAGGCATTGTGTCCTCTGTAAGTAGTTTACTTATCCTCTGTAATTCTCTGAGGGAGGACCATGATTGTGCCCATTTTATTGATGAGGAAACTGGCTCCCAGAGGGTAAATAATTTACCAAAAGTTCTAAAGCTAGCAAGTAATTTGAAATCAGCTCTGCTATGTCCAGAGCCCCTGTGACTACGTTGAGTCAACTGAGGAGTAATATAGTGCAGGGAACCACATGTAGTAACCGGTTTGGGGCAAGGATTAGCAGCAAAGGAAGTTATGTGTGAAAAACTGCACTTAAAAAAGGACATGATTTGTGAAACTTTTGCACACATCCTCTTCTTAATGTCTGCTACTTGTGTGGGAAGATAAGGCAGCACAAGGCAGTGAATATTAACTCTGCTCTGTGACTTTCTCCAAATGAGGACTAAACATGCATGATGGTGACATATGGTATTCAAATAAAAACATATTCAATTTCATTGACTTAGAGTTTTGTAAAATTAATTGGACATTCAAATACACATTTGTTTGAATTCATGGTACATTAAATGTCTTGTGATTCTTTCAAAATATGTATCTGCTAAGCTCATTGTATAATTTTCTTATGAAAGAAGGCAGATAAATATTAATGCAGCTTTGCCTCTGAAAACTTAGTTGCACTGAGATTAGAAAATTCTGTTACATAATGATAAAAATGACCCTGTGATGTATTTGAGAATAGATTTTTAAAAATATAAAACCGTGAAATAATATTAGATGTTATTTATAAGGTAATGAGTAAAGGAAAATATACTTTTTAAACTTAGCGGATGGAAGATATTTTGGATGTATATTTAGAAGCATTGCAAGTTTGCTATATTTTTAGACCCTTG